CGCTCTTCTTCACTGATGCCTGTTCCCTGGAGCAGCTTGGCCCTGCTGGACTGCTGAGCCATCTGCACTGTGGCACCGCCTGGGACCCTGACAGCCAGGGACACCCGGGTACACCACAGCCTCTCTCTGACCTGCTCTGAACCTAAGTGCACCCTTTCCACCCAGCCTGGGGTGCAGCCCTGCCTGCCCACAAAGCCACAGAGCTGTGGATGTTGTCTGCCCGGGATGGGGCCAGGACACACCGAGTGCTGTGTGCTTGGTGCCTTCGCTAGGCGCTCCAGCAGTCAATGCAGTGAGATCAGAATTGTCATGGCTGTGTGTTCGCATCCTAGTGTCCAGTGAAAACAGCACTGCTCTTGCAGCACTTGCCCTGTGGGCAGTGCTTGAGCAGGATGCAAGGGGTTAGGATCACTGGCACAGACGTTCACTGCACCTGCCGGACAACTGGGAGGCTAGAGTCTTTCAGTAGCAGACGATTGGGAGGGCCATCTCTTCGAGCTGTCGGAGGTGGCAGCATGCCGCAGAGTCCTTCAGAGACAGAAGCGGGGACCAGAGAAGGCTCCTGTTGGCCACTGTGCTCCCCGGAGTAGCTTTCAAATGGCAGGAGAGAGCTGCCGAGTTCTTAAGGGACAGCACGTGTGCAGTGAGCCATGTGTTGGATCTGCTACTTCTCTTAAATAAGTGCTTCGTTATTTTAAATACAGTATGTAATTTAAAAAAAATTTATTTGGTTGCTCCAGGTGTTAGTTGCAACAGGTAGGCTCCTTAATTGCAGCTCCAGGACTCCTTAGTTGCGGCACATGGTCTCCTTAGTTGTGGCATATGAACTGTTAGTTGCGACATGCATGTGGGATCTAGTTCCCTGACCAGGGATCAAACCCAGACCCCCTGCATTGGTAGTGTGGAGTCTTATCCACTGCACCACCAGGGAAGTCCCAGCAGTATGTAATTTAATTTTTATTTTTATCATAATCTTCAAAAGGGTTTATAACTAAAATTTACGTCAAGGAAGCTAATTTGAGCGTTTGACAGAGAGATTACACTGCATTACCAATTTACCTTGGAAGAAAGCAGAATATAGGAACCTTGGAAATCTCTTTCAACGGTATCTAGATTGTCTTGGCCACCCATTTTGCAGCCCTCCAATGTTTCCAGTCCATTTAGAGCACCCCTTCCAGGTAGGCACACCATATCCTGCCTGGGCAGTAAAGCAGGGATCAGCACACATTTTCCATAAAGGATCATGAATAGTCTGTGTCCCATGTTCCTCCTCTGCTTTAAAAATGTAAAAGTCATTCTTAGCCCATCACACCTCAGAAAAATAGGCTGTGCTGGCCCTGCTCTAGATAAAGCCAGCTCAGCCGAACTTGGTTGAGCCATTCTATTTGTGCTCACGCTGGACTGTCTCTTTCTCCTGGACAGGGATGGAGTCCCACCTTACAGGATCCGCAAGCAGCACCGCCGGGAGATGCAGGAGAGCGTCCAGGTCAACGGGCGCGTGCCTCTACCTCACATTCCTGTAAGTTCGTCTGCACAGCCCTCGCCCTCCCCGTCTCCAGGTTTGGGGCTCACCTGCCCTCCTGGACCCATGCCCACCCGTTCTCTCCACTGACCAGGCTGCTGTGGCACTGGCGTGGCTTCCAAGGAGCTCAGCTCAGGTCCAGGCACGGCACACGGTCACACGCATTCTCGCCCTGTGGCTGGAGGGGGCAGTGCCTGCACAGTCAGTACAGATGAGCAGGGACTGCCCTCCTCACAGCCTTTCCCATTGTGTTAAGTGAGGTGCTTCTCCTGGAGGTGGGAGAACTGCTCGGAGCCTGTCGCTGGCTCGATGCCCAGGCTTGGCCAGACTGGCAGCCGGCGGCTCTGTGGGACAGCGTGGCAGTGCCCCCGTCCTGAGCACCCATGAGCACTGCTTTGTTCGGGATGAAACAAGGCATCGGCCGCCTGTGGCTGAACTGTGGGGCATCCTGACTTCAAACCTGCCTCAATTTCACCTCTTGGATAAAAATAACAAGGTGATAGTGGTTTTCCTGATCGTGGGCACTGGGGACCCTCAGAGAGCCCAGTGCAGGGTGGGGCTGGGCAGAGAGTTCCTTTGCTGATGACGGGAGGGATTAGCTGTCCTCGTTTGGACGCATTGAATTGGAGCGGGAAAGACCTTGCAGGGAAGATGTGGTCTTGTCGCGTTGGTGCATCCACAGTGACTCGTGTCTTCCTGGCGGTTTCTGTGCAGGGAGAGCAGATGCATCTCAGGATTGTTGCACACACCTGCCCTCCATCAGGATTCCTTGGTTAGAGTCTTTTCACTTTTCTGTAGATGCTTTAATTTCCAAATAAGAGAAGTGATATGGTTGAGAAGAGGGCATTTTGTCACCTCCCAGCTACCCCTTGGCACAGATGCGCCTGAACCAGCACCGATGGTGTCTGCTTAGGGACAAGTGGAAGACGCTATGAGGGCTGTGTGTGCACGTGTGTGTGTACACGTACGCGTGTGTGCATGCGTGTGCCTGCCTGTGGGCAGCCTCCTGGGGAGCAGCCTGAGCCTGAGCCGAGGCCGTGGACACACGTGTCCTCTCTGCTTTGTGGACCAGGCTGGGCAGGGGCACAGAGGAGGTGCCCAGCATCTTGTGTCCCGGAAAATAAGGGTGTGAGGGGACATGGAAGGGGTCACAGTCAGTGCCGTGGAGTGGGGTCCGTGTGTGGATGCTGACGTGACGGGGGGGTCGAGCCCGTGGATGAGCAGGGTGTCAGCATCGTCCCCAGTGTCCCACCTAGGGAGAGGGCTATTGTTAGAACTAGTTTATTATTTTCTATTAAAGGGTAAAAGCGGACAAGTAAGAAGATCCCTGCTACGACCATTGTGCTTGAGTGAAATAAGGCTGAGACAGGGGTAGGCCCCTCTATTGCTGAGGGGAGTCAAGGGTGTAGTCCAAATTGGGCTGATTTTCCAGTTGCAGCTAGTACAAGTCCTATGAGGGGGAGGTTAGAGGGGTTTTGGTTGAGTATAAAGATTTGTTGAAAGTCCCATGTGTTTATGTTTGACAAGAATCATGCTATTGATACGAGGAGTCTCTCCCGGGGGAGAAAGCTGCTTTGCGAAAGGACCTGCCTGGGCTCCTGCGTCCACAACAGGACGCCAGAGCTACCCCTGCGAGGACATAGCCTGAGCCGAGGGCCGTCCTGCACAAGAACTGCCCTTTAACTCTCACAGGTCACGGGGTCATGAAAATCCCATGTGGACCCAGCTGAGGCCACCGCATCCTCCAGGGTGAGCCCAGGAGGCGGGTCGGGGCGGAGGCGCTCGTGTGGGAGAGTCCCTGCGTGTAGGAAGCGCGCCGTCTGCTGCCAGATCCAGAAAAAATGTTCTTCGTGTTGTTCTTGCAACTTGTCTGCAAGTTTGAGATATTTTCCAAAATAAATTTTTTTTAATTTGAAAAATTAAACAAAGTGTTAGACAAAACCTACAGAAAGAGCCGGAGTAGCACGGGGGCGGGTTGTCTGCGTGCAGCACTGAGAGGGGTGGAGAGGACAGGGTGGCCCAGAGCCCACGTGCCACACGAGCAGCTTCCAGAATCAGAACAGTGGTGCCCTTGGGTCCCGGAAGGCCCTTGGCGGGCAGTCCTGCATCCTGAGGGTCTGTGTTTCCTGGCCCTGCACCTTGAGCCCAGATTCAAGAGAACGGCCGTGCCGGGTAAATGGGGGTGAGAGGAGAAACACCGTGAGTGGCCTGCAGGCGGGGGAGTCCTCCCTGGGGTGCGCTGTCTGCACGCGGGGAGCGGAGTCCCTGCCAGGGCAAGGGCTGGTCGGGGGCTGGTCGGCAGCTGTGCTCAGCCTGGCCATGTGCTCGGGGCAGAAGGTGCAGCCGAGTTTTGTTCAGTGATGTGGTTTGAGGTTCAAGGTGAAGAGACTTCAGCCTCATCCACCACGACTCACGTGGACGCCTTCCCCGCCAGCGGGAAGAGAATGCTGCTTTGCGCCTCTGTTCGCTAACGACATGTCTTCTGTGGCTGGTGCCCCGGGAGCCCGTGCACATTTGTTTGATTGTCGGACCGGACGCTGGGTGGTGGGCGGAGGTGGGTCCAGGGAGCTGGGGCTCCTGTTGCCGTTGCATGTCTTTTTTGGGAGTTGCCGTTTCTCGGGGGGTCTACTGTGTTCTGTGCTCCTCGCTGTGAGACACACAGGGGTTTGGGGAGGCCAGTGGAGGGGACGCATGTGGGTGACTGTCGTGGGAGAGAGGTGCCAGCGTGTGGGGGAGCCTGTGGCCCTCCACATGTGAAGTGTCTGGTCCTGAGATCCTTAAGGCTGAGAGAGGAGCCTCTTCTTTCTTTGTTGGCCTTTTAAATTCCTCAGAAGTTTCCCATTTTTATTTACTTGAAATATTTTCCTTTGTGGTTTTTTTAAAATTTCTTCAAAGCTGGAGAGGTTACCGTTCTTCCATGAATCTGATAATCATTGTAACTTCTGACAGCTTTCCTATTTTTGGAGTCACAGCTGCACAGCTTGGAGGCTGTTTTCCAGAATGGACTCGCTGGATCTCATCAAGAACTTTTTCCTTCTGCTCTTGTGCGGTCAGAACCGTGCGCTCTCACCATCTGGATGTCGTGCTGGTGTCACAGCACTCTTGGCTCAGCGCTCCCTGCCCCGGCTCTCCTGCCTCTGGCCTCTGACCAGCCAGCTTGGTGGCACCGGACTGCCCTCAGGTCCCTATGGTCTGTCCCAACGCCCGCTCTTGAGGACTCCTTCCAGGGCCTGGCCTCTTGGCTGTCCCACCGCTCAGTCGTCTGGGGCTCATCATCCATGCCCACCTTCTCTCAGGACCTCCTAGAAGTGCTGGGCACCCTGACTGCCCTTCTTGGGCATGGCCTCCTTGGCTCCAGGACAAACCTCTGACTGGTGTTGGGCACTGCCTGGCCCTTGGCCAACTTCTCCGCCTCTGAAGCATTGGCCTGTGTCCAGGCCTCTTCGAGCCTGTTGTGGTCAGCGTCAGCCTCAGTGGCTTGTTTCTGAGCCCTTGATGTGACATTCTTCCCTAATTTTACATGTTTCTGAGGAATCAGGAACTATTCTCCCTCCTGTCTTGTAGATGAGGAATGGGTGTGCAAATCCAGACCATGTCCAGAGCCCCCTGGTGGGAGGGCTGTGTGGGCACCAGCTCCACCCAGGCTCCCACCCCTGTCCTGCGGCTTCCCGCCTCGCCTGCTTCTGTCTGGAGGCCAGGGTTCTACATAGCCACTGTCCACCCAGAGGTCAGAGAGGGCCCCTGTGCACCACCCTGTTGCCAGGCCCTTCCAGGCCCTCTCTCCCTTGGGTCTCCTCTCTCCCTCACCAGCCTCCTCATGCAGCACTCCTGCCGCTCCCATCCCTCCCTCACTTAGACCTCAGTGGCTTAGATTTTTAAAACATGTTTTGCTATAGAGGATGTTTATTGGGACAACTGGTGAAATTGGAATAAGATCTGTGATTAGATAAGAATATTGTATCAGGATTTTTTTTTTTTATAATTGTCCTGTAGCTAGGTACAAGATTGTCCTTGGTTTTTGTTAAATACATTCTAAAGTGTATGGGAGTTAGCAGGCGTCACAGGTGCAGAGTGTTCTCTGCTGGCTCAGGAAAGTGTGTGCGTGTCTGTGTCTAGGGGAGAAAGTGACAGCAAGTGTGGCAGGTGGCAGTGGGCTGGGGTCCAGGTGAGGGTGCACAGTTCTTCGTACTCTTGCAATTGTTTTGGATTTGAAATTATTTCACATTAAAGCTAGCTACTCCCCACCCCCGCAAAAGAAAAAGCTATCCAGTGTATTGTTGTAAACTGCATCGCGGAGTTATGTTCTCTGAAAGGAAGAGCCGTCTGTCATCCCATCTCTCCCTTGACTCTTTCCTGTACCCAGAGTTTTGTGTCCCTCATCCCAACATCAGAGCCCAGAGCCTGGTCCACGCACACCTGAGTGCTGGGCACTGCTGCCCCCTTGTGTGCAGGGTGGGCGCTGCAGGGAGCGGCCAGCCCTTCTGGCCCGTGGGCTCGTCCTGTCCTCAGTGGTCTTCGCAGCTGCAGCTCTCCTGCCACGCCTCTGCCATGGGCCCAGCTGCCCTGGGTCCCAGCCTGGGCAGTCACGAGAAGCGCTTCTCTGGGACGGGCCAGAAGCTCTCGGGGTAGGCGCCCCTGGGCTGAGGGCGCTGGGGTGGCCTTTGTCCTGGGGACGCAGCTCCCGGCCTGCTCAGTGTCTCCATCCAGGGTCATGCGAGGCGGGAAGTGGTGGTGTCTGCTCATTCTCACTGCTGGGTCAGCTCTGGGTTGGATAAAATGCAGGCCTCATGTTCTTTCCTCACCTGCGGCGTGGCAGGGCCACCCGGGCGCGGAGCAGCTCCACACTGCATGCACAGCTCACCAGCAGCGTCTCCTTGCAGCGCACGTACCGAATGCCAAAGGAAGTCCGTGTGGAGCCCCAGAAGTTTGCCGCAGAGCTCATCCACCGCCTGGAGGCCGTGCAGCGGACGCGGGAGGCCGAGGAGAAGCTGGAGGAGCGGCTGAAGCGTGTCCGGATGGTGAGTGGGTCCCATGGCGGGGCGCCACACTGGGTCTCTGAGGTGTGTGACCACACTCGGTAGAGTTTAGGGGGCCTTCAGGCCCTGAGCTGCTCCCACCAGGGCCCCCTAGCACCTCCCCGCCCCACTGGATCATGCTCCGCCCCGACTTGGGGGCTTATGGGCAGCTCTCCCATGACACCTGCTCGCGGACCCAGGCCTGGCCTGCATCCTGCTCAGTGCCCTCCCTGCCACGCGGAGCTGAGATGCCCTCACATGGGCAGGAGGGGCAGGAGGCTCCCACTTGTCACTTCCAAGTGCAGAGTGGCTTTTAGGTCTGGACACAGGCTCTGTTTTGTCTTGTTTTCTGACCTGCAGCCTTGTTTGATGGAACTTTGGAGGCTAAGAAGTTTCATAATATTTGTAATTTATTTGCTTTAATACTTTTCTGCCCATAACTGCTAGAGATACCTTGCTTTTGTTGCCCTGGGTGTGTCATTCTACTAGACTCGTTTCCACACATTCAGGGCCTCCGTGCATAGGTGCTGGTGACAGGCGTGCCCCTCACACGCCCTCCCTGTGCCCAGTCCCCCCTGGACTCCGTGGGCCTCAGTGCTGTGTCCCACGGGCCTTTGCTTTTTCTCTTAGAGCAGAAATCTGTTCTCTTCTCGATATTTTGCCCAATACCTGAAAGTCAAAAATGTGACGTTTCCTGAAGGAGTTGTTTCTCCACCCGATCTTCCTATTTAATATACAGGACCTGAGCCCTCGCTGGACCCCATCAGAACCCTTGGGAGGGCCCTGCTGTTTCAGTTCCACGTTCCCCGGGTGGGCCGTGTGTACAACAGTCTGGAGGCACTGCCATCAGGGTGGACATGGGACCTGGCACGTGATCACACCTGGCGGTCCCCTCTCCTGCCGCCTGCACCCGGCTCCAGAGCTCCCAGTGATGCCCAGCCCTGAAACAGGGGGCCTGGCTCCCCCATCTTCCCCTGTGGGGAGACAGTAGGCAGGTTTCCCGTAGCGTGTCGGAACCTGGGACCCCTCACAGCACCAGAAGGCAGCCCTGAGAGTGAGACGCTGGTGGGCGGCGCTGTGCTGCGAGGAGCCTCAGGGAGCCTGCTTGGCCCTCGCTCTCCTCTTCCACCCGCATGGCAACGGCAGGGCCCTCACAGCAGAGAAGGTGTGGCCTGAGGGCTTCCCCTGAGTTGACCAGCTGTCCTCGCGCGGCCCCCAAGGTCACCCGACAGGCACCCACCCTGCTGGCTCCCGTGACGTGGTCTCACTGCTTGGGAGGGAGTGGCCGGCAGGGCTGGGCTCGGGGGTTGCTCTGGGTGAGCTGCTCTCATTCAGGCTGTGAGGCCTGTGGAGGAGCTGAAGGGACAGTTAGGGGCATGGTTTCCGCCTCCTGCGACCCCGCTCTGAAAAAACGAACACAGCGGGAAGGGGAAGGGTAAGCTGTGACAAAGTGAGAAAATGGCATGGACATATATACACTACCAAACGTAAGGTAGATAGCTAGTGGGAAGCAGCCGCATAGCACAGGGAGATCAGCTCAGTACTTTGTGACCGCCTGGAGGGGTGGGATAGGGAGGGTGGGAGGGAGGGAGACGCAAGAGGGAAGAGATACAGGAACATATGTATATGTATAACTGATTCACTCTGTTATAAAGCAGAAACTAACACACC